AAAACCTAACTCCTTCTACCTCGAGAATTATCAAAACATCATGCAATTGTGAATTATATATATTACAAGCAAAGCTCAAACTACAAATTAGTGTTAGTTAAAATAAGACAAATAGAAACCTCAGAGAACTATCACAGCTGATTCAAAGAATATACATTCAATTAGCTTTTCAGGTTTCTTTCGCTTCATATTTCTACCAGACAATGGCAAAATGATTTCAAGCAAAGCAAGCAAAACTGTTCCCATGGCACCAAGACAGACACCTGCGCTACGTTTCTACAAGACATTCATACTAATTATGGTTATCCAAAGTCCATCAAAAGCGACAATGACACCAGCAATATCATCTTCAAGTGTGACAACTAATGTTACAACAAGTCCTGAACCAACAACTACTATGAGACCAGCAACATCGTCTACAAGTGTAGCAACTAATGTTACAGCAACTGTTAAATCAACAACGACAATGACACCAACGACATCCCCTACAAAAGTGACAACCAATGTTATAACAAGTCCTGAAAGAACAACAAGAATGATACCAGCAACATCGTCTACGAGTGTAACAACTAATGTTACAACAACTGCTGAACTAATAACGACAATGAAAACAGCAACATTATATACAAGTGCAGCAACTAATGTTACAACAGGTGCTGAACCAACAACAATGATACCAGCGACATCATCTACAAGTGTGGCAACTAATGTTACAACAAGTGCTAAACCAACAGCGACAATGACACCAGCGACATCATCTACAAGTGTGACAACTAATGTTACAACAAGTGATGAACCAACAGCGACAATGACACCAGCAACATCGTCTACAAGTGTGACAACTAACGTTAAAACAAGTGCTAAACAAACGACATTAATGACACCACCGTCTACTAGTGTGACAACTAATGTTAGAACAAGTGTTGGAAAAACAACATCAATGAAACCAACGACATCGTCTACAAGACTGGCAACTAATGTTACAACAAGTGCTGAACCAACAACAACAAGGACAGCAGCAACATCGTCTACAAGTGTAAAAACTAATGTTACAAAAACTGCTGAACCAACAACAATAATGACACAAGGAACATCGTCTACAAGTGTAACAACTAATACTTCGCCAATTGCTGAACCAACAACAACAATGACACCAGCGACATCGTCTACAAGTGTGGCAACTGATGTTACAACAAGTGCTGAACCAACAGTGATAATGACACCAGCAACATCATCTGCTACTGTGAAAAATAATGTTACAACAAGTGCTGTGGCAAGAACGACAATGACACCAGCGACATTGTCTGCAAGTGTAACAAATAATGTTACAACAAGTGCTGAACCAATAGCGACAATCACACCAGTGGCATCGCCTACAAGTGTGACAACTAATGTTACAACAAGTGCTGAACCAACAAGGACAATGACACCAGTGACATCGTCTGCAAGTGTAACAAATAATGTTAAAACAGGTGCTGAACCAACAGCGACAATCATACCAGCGGCATCTCCTACAAGTGTGGCAACCTATGTTACAACAACTGCCAAACCAATAACAACAACAACAGCGACCTCGCCTTCAAGTGGGACAACTAATGTTTCAACAAATGCTTAAGCAACAGCGACAATGAAGACAGCGACATCGTCTAGAAGTGTAACAACTAATGTTACAGCAACTGCTGAGCCAACAACGAGAATGACACCAGCGACATCGTCTGCAACTGTGACAGCTAATATTACAACAAGTGCTGAACCAACAGCAACAATGATACCAGCAACATCATCTGCTACTGTGAAAACTAATGTTACAACAATGACACCAGCAACATCGCATACAAGTTTGACAACTAATATTACAAAAAGTGCTGAACGAAGAACAACAATGACAGCAGCGACATCATCTGCCACTGTGACAACTAATGTTGCAATAAGTGCTGAGGCAACAACGACAATGACACCGACATCGTCTGCAAGTGTAACAACTAAGGTTACAACAAGTTCTGAACCAAAAGCGACAATGACACCAGCAGCATCGCCTACAAGTGTGCCAGCCTATGTTACAACAAGTGCCAAACCAATAACAACAACAACAACAACAACAGTGACATTGCCTACAGGTGTGACAACTAATGTTACACCAACTGCTGAACCAGCAACAACAATGACAGCAGCGACATCTCCTACAAGTGTGAAAACTAATGTTACAACACGTGCTGAACCAACAACATCAATGACACCAGCGGCATCGCCTACAAGTGTGACAACCTATGTTACAACAACTGCCAAACCAACAACAACAACAACTCTAGCGGCATCGCCTACAAGTGTGACAACTACTGTTAAAACAACTGCTGAACCAGCAACAACAATGACACCAGCAACATCTCCTACAAGTGTAACAACTAATTTTCCAACAAATTCTGAAGCAACAGCGACAATGAAAACAGGGGCATCGTCTAGAAGTGTAACAACTAATTTTTCAACAAATGCTGGAGCAACAGCGACAATGAAAACAGCGGCATCGTCTGGGAATGTAACAACTAATGTTACACCAACTGCTGAGCCAGCAACGAAAATGACACCAGCGACATCGTCTGCAAGTGTGACAGCTAATGTTACAACAAGTTCTGAACCAACACCAACAATGATACCAGCGACATCGTCTAGAAGTGTAACAACTAATGTTACAGCAACTGCTGAGCCAACAACGACAATGACACCAGCAACATCGCCTACCAGTGTGACAACTAATGTTACAATAAGTGCTGAACGAAGAACAACAATTACTCCAGCGACATCATCTACAAGTGTGGCAACTAATGTTACAACAAGTGATGAACCAACAACAGCAATGACACTAGCGACATCGTCTACAAGTGTGACAACTAATGTTACAAGAGCTGCTGAACCAACAACAACAGTGACACCAGCGAAATCGTCTACTAGTGGGACAACTAGTGTTACAACAACTCCTGAACCAACAACGAGAATAACACAAGCAGCATCGCCTACAAGTGTGACAACTAATGTTACAACAAGTGCTAAACCAACAAGGACAATGACACCAGCAACATTGGCTACAAGTGTGACAACTAATGTTACAACAAGTGCTAAACCAACAAGGACAATGACACCAGCAACATTGGTTACAAGTGTGACAAATGATGTTACACTAAGTGATGAACCAACAGCAACAATGACATCAGCGACATCGCCTGCAAGTGTGACAACTAATGTTACTACAAGTGCTCAACCAACAAGGACAGTGACACCAGCAACATTGACTGCAAGTGTAACAACTAATGTTACAACAAGTGCTCAACCAACAGCGATAATGACACCAGCAGCATCATCTTCCACTGTGACAACTAATGTTACGACAGATGCTGAACCAAAAACAACAAGGACACCACCGACATCGTCTACAAGTATGAGAACTAATGTTAAAACAAGTGCTGAACCAACAACAACAATGACACAAGCGACATCATCTACAAGTGAAACAACTAATGTTACAACAAGTGATGAACCAACAACAACAATGACATCAGCGACATCGCCTGCAAGTGGGATAACTAATGTTAAAACAAGTGCTGAACCAACAGCGACAAGGACACCAGCAACATCGTCTGGAAGTGTGA